GCGGCAGCGCTCCTGGCCGCTCGGAGAAGGCCGTTTCGGTGCCTGTGAGGTGGGCTGCCGTGGGGGTGAGGGCAGGACCTTACCTGCCACCCCTTCTCCAGCCGGCCGGGCTCCGGTTTTGTGAGGCATCCGGATCAACCTGCCTGCGCACTGATGGTTTTCACCGGGTGTTCACCCTGACACGAAGTCCACTGAAGTCAGGACGTTTGTTTCAGTGGGTTTGGAGTGGCAGTGCAGTGAGATAAGTCGAGGTGACCATGGTGTAAGCTGTTCTTTAGTAAATCCATGTTCGGTGATGGTCTTGGGATCTATCTGTGCTGGCACCTTGGGAAATGAATCTTCTGTCCGTCTAAAAGTGCCCAAAGAAACGTGAAGTGTGTGCTGCTGCCCCCACTGGCATGCTTGGCAAGAACGGCTCATCCTAGAACTTTGCCAAGATGTTTTGTAGCCACAGTTTTTTCTGATACTCTTATTTATGTGTTTCTGATATCCCACTAAGCATGCTCTAGTGTAATCTACTGTTATGACTCTTGATCCTGCAGATAAGGAATAGATTGTGTTGTCTTGATCTAATCTTGGGTAGATCAGAGAATGAGAGCATTTTGTTCCATGTCCTACATGTTCTTGGACGTGTTTCGTTTCTCATTCAAGCTCAGGTGGTCTTTGAGCACCAAACAGAGATCCAGGCTTAAAAATTTAAGTCTGGAATGATTTAGTTAAGGAGCTTTAGTAGGTGGGGGAGGTGAAGGCAGGGGAAAGAGAAAGCAGAATTCCCCTCCCCTGGCTCTGTAGGTAGCTTTGATAGGGATTTCAGGTTTGGAGACTTTCTCTACAGGTCTTTTAAACTATCTTTTTTGCATAGGCTGCCTCTGGAATTGGTAAACCTTATGCTCCTTGATATGATAGCATCTGCTTTGCACTCTAGAGCTGGTGTAAGTTACATAAACTCGGCTTGGCCCAGTGCATTAGCAGTGTAGGCAAAGTGGATGGCTGTACCAACAGTATGAGGAATTGTGCCGGTGAACTTGTCACGTGTATCTGACAGTGAAGAGGTGGGTTTCCACTGTGCTCTCCTTTGAAG